GATCTGAGGAATTCAAACAACACAACAAATGTTTCACATCCTCAGTTTTACTGAGTGGTATCTAGAACAGTAGCACACCCAGGAACAGAATAAACATAAAAATATCAGGCAATTATTTCTGAAGATGCAGTTCAGAATTCTTCCTCAGTTTATAACTTCTTATAAGAAACTTGGACAAGAAAATTCACCTGCACTGGTTTCATACTAACAAATACTAATTTCTCTGTTGAAAAAGTTTCAGTTATTTCTCCTGTATCTGCAGTAAGCAGCATCTCTCGACTAATAATGTTAAAGCCCCTAATACTGAGTAACTTGAATGCTTCTATTTTCATACTTACTTTTGAGGGGTTTAACTTTTCTCTGAGTAGGAGTGTTTACAAAATGTCACTCAGTGAGTCATACCACACTTCTGCTTGCTCAAGTTTCAACAGATAACCACTGAAATTGAGTGCAAATAGGAGCACAAACATAGCAAGATACATTAACTTGGACCACACAAGCTGTCTCGGCTGTGTATTTCCATACTGACATTGTGACATAACATATTCTACACGTTGGCTGGCACAGATACCCACAGATGCACAGAATTTCTCATTTACCACCTCTTAAGAAGTGATGATTACCTGATCTCACCTCAGTCTCCTTCACATACATAAACCTAGATGCAGAGGGAGACTCGCAGCTTTCTACATGTTTTTTGAGTTTCTGTGGCAGCTTTGAACATTGTCGGCAGGCCTAACTTACAGTCTGAGAGCATCTCTCAAGGACATAGATTGACATTAGCCAATAAGCTGCATGTAAAAAAATATTTTAATTTGTATACAAAGAGAGCTTGCAGACCTAAACCAATTTTAAAAATGAAAGTACTATCCTCCATACTAAACTGAAAGTTAATTTTCTATGTGAGAGAAATAGTGAACTTTGAGAATACTATGATATATAGCACTAATGGGATCATAATATTTGGCATTAGCTAGAACAGTTTCAAGGTTTTAAACTGAGATCTGAGCCAGAAAATAAATATTTTTAAGCATATAGCTGCAGCATTTATCTCTAACTTTAGCTCATGGCATCTTCATTTTTGGGACCTCACCTGATGCAGAATTTTACACCACCTCACATGCTGATTTGTACTCTAGTTTTAGATATGTATTTTAAATCTATAAAACCCACTGGCTCTATGACTCAATTGTGATGCCAAATACACCCCTTCATTAGAATTTATTTCAAATAAATCATAGAGAATGTCAGCTGAATTTTGCAGATAAGAGATCCATAAAGTGATACAGCTTGAAAAGCTGGCCACATTCTTTAATGATCTCTGTGACCAACTGAAATTTTTAGCATTTTATTCAGAGCAACTCAGTTGCCAAATTTCTGCTAGTGCTTCCCACACACTGAAACCAAGGAGAAGGCAAAAGTAAGTGTAGAATTGCCAAACAAACCAGAGATACTCTTCTGATTTTTTTTTCATCTCCAAGTGAAACTAAACCAGACTCTAAATTAGATAGAAACTGCAAAATGTAGTTTGACCTCAAAAATTCTAAAAAAAAGTTGCTAGAAGATAATTTTTTATTCCTTCTGATTAGATTTTGAGTGTTATTCTTGATCATAAAAAGGTATTTCCCCTAATCCTTGTTAGCTGTCATACTTTCTGTTTGAGAGACACTTCGATTTATCTGACCTTATATAATGCACCATATTCTAACAGGCTGAGTAACCATTTGTAAGTGAACAGATTAGAGATGCATAAATCGTACTGTCCACACCTCCACCTATTCTGCTGTTTTACAGTATCTTTTGATGGCCATATTTAAAAGTCTTGCAAGCCTGTCTTCTCTAGTCTTAATATCTACTCTATCTACCAGAAAAAAAAAAGCTGTTGCTCAGCTTTCCTTACAGTTCTGACATGGATTCTTTACTGTGCTTCTTGCTTGAACTGACTTGATTTTTACAAAAATCACTGAGTAGCAGACTGGTTCTTCTAAGGGGTAAAGCAACTTGCTTTTCTGAAAATGTTCTAAGTTTTATGCAGCCTAAATGAAGGATTTAAGATGATAGTTTTGTGTCCAGTCTTGAGAAGGAAAAATATGATGAATCCTTCTGTGCTCCTATTTTTAATAGAGAGAATTCAAAAGGAGCATTGCAGATTTTTGCCGTCTAATTTCACAGAGGTTTGTTCTGATCAAATTTTTTACTTGGGAGTTGAAGGGGGAGACAGGCATCACAATTTTAAAACTATCCTGTTGTTAATGCAGGTACTTGTGACTTCTAGAGTAGAGACCTGGCTGAATGTGATGCTCTGAAAGAAGAAAAGCAGATGTGTCACTACAGTTGACAACAGGACTGTCAATAGTGCTGTATTGACTTCAGAGTAGCCACAATGATTACAGCAGAACTAGATGAACACAAACATGCCATGATGGGATTCTCACTCAGACAAAGCTTTGAGGCAGATACAGCAATCTCTACCTCAATTTCAAACACAAATAAGTTCATATATTGGTAGATGTACCAGAATAATTGACTTTTTAAACAGAAAAATCTTAATGTGACTAGGTAAAGAAGAGAAGAAATGACAATGTCTATTCAGAGCTCTCCTTTTGCCTAGTATGTATTCACTGTTGCTTTCTTGCTCCCATGCTTATTTTATTTGGCTCAGTGAGTTTCTGAGCAGTGACAAACCCTACTCAGACTCCTCTGGTCCTAAACTGTGTGTCAGATACTCCCATTTCTCCCAGATGAGATCAGCCTAGTTAAAGAATTTTCATTTCAGTAGGCATAAAGTGTAGAGGAAATATTTTCTTTAATTTTCTTTAGTTTATCCAACCCATTTTCTTTAGTAAGTGCTATTTCACAGGGCATGTAGGAGACGGCAGTGCCCAGCCTTGCAGAAAGGCTGACAAAATGTATTTTTTGTATGACTGACAAAATGTATTTTTTTTTATGGCCCTAGCAAACTGGCAGAGCTGCATTTGATCTCCCTCAACCCAAACTAACCCTTTTCTGTCCACACTGGATCCTTCCAGCATCTATGGCAGAATAACCCTCTAATGCAACTCTCCCTAGGAAGAACCACTCAAGCAGCTGTATCACCTACAGCACACTAATTTCCTACGGTGCATTTGCACTCCATAAGGCGTTCACAGAGGAACAAAGAAGTCTGCCTTCCAGCTCAGGTAGATAATTTTTTTTTAAAATAGCCTTCCAAAACTTTCAGGTTTTGCTCATTTCTGTTTTGATCCATGTGACAGGTAGTTTTACCCAGAAAACACAAGATCTAACTTTGGTAATGTAAGTAAAACTAAACAGACGGTTATTAAGTGATTCATGTAGATCTAAAATAAAAGATGGAAAAATTAAATATACCACATGGCATTCTGCAGCCTGTGAAGAAGGAAGAACTCTAGACGTTTGTCCCAAATCGTTTGAAGACATCTTTGAAGTATCTGGAGAAATACTAGGTGGATGATCTTGGATTTCAGGCTCTGCTTTACTGTCAGGGGTGGGAACTATCTGAATGGAAAGAGATGCTGTGTGTATCTCATGTACGGGGTTACAGGCAGGTGAGACAGGCCTCTGTGGAAATAGTGGTTCTTCAACAGGCTTGAGCTGTTGCTGTGAATTACAGGGAATGCTACTTGCTGGGTCATGTGTCCGGGTTAATTTCAAGGTAGATATCTTACGCTTTTGAGACTGCTGCCTTTGGCCTTGATGGAGAGTAGTACTAATGCCAGCTACTGTACTTGTGTCTGCACTGGAGACTGAAGTCAGAGGTTTAATGATTTTCTGTGCATAGGACACACTTGTATTAGATATTTGAGAGGACATTGTCTCCTGAACAGACGTCTCGCTAGTGTAAGAGTCAGTATCTGTGGGATGGTGTTTAGCTGGGCCAGCAGTTACTGCCTGAAGATTAATTTCGTTCTCGTGATTAGTTACTCTTGCTTTCCGAAAACTTTCTTTTCTAGGAGGTGGCAGAGGTGCCTTATTTGCCAAAAGCATCCACACACAGCAAAATAACATTGAAGAAGAAACAGAAAGAAAGTAAATGTTAGCAGGAGATACAGTTCAGTTTTACTTGTATATTTAAATAAAGGAACTAGCAAATTAAAGGGCTTCATCTCAACATTGCTCAGTTCAATGGACAACTAAATCGTTGACATTCCCACCATCTTTTCCTGTGCAGGGCTGTACAGCTTCTGTTTAAAAAGCCAGATGTTCCATTTGCTCAGAGTAAAATGAGATCAGAAGGGATGAGAAGGGAGCCCAAAATCATCCATACTCTTTTAAAGAACAATTATTATCCTTAATAAGAATTACTGTTGTGAAAGCGTTCAGGTATGTAAGTACTCCATGATCTTACATAGCAAGCAATTACACACTGGTAACATTCATATATAGAACACAGAACCTCTTAAACCTTTGAATTAAAATAGTTACAGCAACAGTATTAAAACTGGTATGTTGGTATTTTTTTGACAGATAAACACATTTCCAAGTGTGGGGTGTTCTCATGTTTTTGGTGGGTTTTTTTTTTTGGTTGGTTTGTTTTTGCTTTTGTTTTGAGTGTGCTCTAATTACATTGTTATGCAAAACAGGCAGAAGCATTTTCTACCACATAATTAATAAATTTTAATTCTCAGATATTTTGATGACTGGTGCATTTTTCCAAGTGTAAACTATTAGTAAGTACTCTTTGAAGTCTGGGGACTCTCCTAGAAAGCTTTCACTTGTGTATGACCTCGTTTTATTTAGCTGTCTGTCTTGCTCATTGAAAGCAATTTCTGGTAATTAACCTGGGGGCATACAGACTGTAGGAAGTATGCTTTATCTATGCAGTAAAGCAGCTTGTGGTGACCCATATGAGCAGGTCATTCACATTATCTGGAAGCCATCAGGACAAGGTTTTGCAGAGGTATGCCATCCATATGTGCTATCCCCCCAGAATAACGCCCCCAGCAATGGCACAGCATTAAATGTGGTGTGTCCAGTTTTACCTGAGTTGGTGATTTTTTATCCTGTAGATTTGGCCGCACGCTCCTAAAACCTTTTGCTGAAAGAGATGAACTGCTGGCGTCTCCATTCAGTGTCTCTCTACTTCCATTATTGTAAGATCTCCAAGCTTTTGTAAACAGAAAAGAATGAAACTTTTTTTTTTTTTTTTTTTTTTGATTTTGTGCTCTCAACATAGCAATGCAACTACTAAACAAACTACACAACTGACAATGACGCTGTTTTACCATGGGAGGTATAAGAATACGGCTAAAGCTGTCACTCTACAAAATACTAATATTTAAAATTCAGAAAATTCAAGGACTGACAACAGTCCTGATATCGGGCAGTTTGACATCTTCCCACAAATTTCATACAGACTATGGATTTTAACCTTGAGAGTCTTTCTGAGATGCTGGTGCTTTAGCTCCTGTACAAATCAGGCTCAAGGTCTTTCACTTTTAGATTAGGTTCTTGAACTTCACAGCTGTGTTGAATTTTGAAAAACAGCTTATGTAAAATTAGTTGGTCATGGCAGTATCACAAAATTTCACCAGTCTCCAATTAGTTGTTCCAGCAATGTATCTTACTGCCAAATCTGATTGACACTTCAGCTTTCCAGCCAACCAACCAAACAAGTTTTTTCTCCATCCTCAGACCTGGAATGCCCTCAAAGCGTTGGCCAAACATAGAAGGAGATGTTGAAGACAAAATACTGTAAGAGGCTGGGAAAAGTAACACATGTGAGCAGGCTGCTAAGGGAGGTGGGCAGAACTTGCAATCCTGAGTAAGGCACTAAAAAGGAAATAGCAAGTACCAAGGAACAGTGCCACAGTGATGAAGCTAAAGGTGGCAAATCAGCAGTCTGCTTTTGTCCCACACAAAATTCATTTTTCTGACAACATATTCACTGTTACAGGAAATAACTGCTTTCAAATGAGACTTGAATTTGAGGTCTTAACCATTAACAATTAGGATGACAACTTCAGCAGTGCTTTCCTTGAAGAATGAGGAAGCATGAAGTAATGAAATAAAAAAAAAAAGAGAGGATTGTTGCAATTTGTCCACTTATATGGTATAAAACCGACGCATAAATAATACAGTGTTTTACTTACCTGAATCTGGAGACTGAGAATCAGACCCTGAAAAAGAAATATCCAATATTAATTTTTGCAAGAAATAAAATAATTTTGCAAAAGACAGAGGAATATTGATAAGAAGCAGTTCTGACTGTCCAATGAATATTGAGTATATTTTTACTGTAATAAATATTTTTAGGTAAACATGCTTCATAAATGATTTTTTGTAAACATGCATAAATTCATAATTTATTTTTTAAAATTAATCTGGCTTCTGACAATCATTTTACAACACTCAGATTCCTTTTCTTGAGAAGATTCTTATATCAAATTTCAATAAAACGTTTGTAATAGGCACAACCTCTTTTTCATGCTTTGTTATCTTGAAAAAAATACAGGGGATGTGAGACCCTAAATATACATCAAGGGCAAAATAAATTTACAAATAACTCATTATTCCTAAGTCTTCCTGATTTTTTTCATGAGTGGCTACTAAGCATAGACAGAGAGAAATTAAGACGACTTTTTTAAAAGCATTGTAGAAGGAATAGATCCGTCAGTGGAACAGAAAATAATGTTACCCTTCTTCTTGCAAAGTAATACGGCAGGAATGCACGACACTACAAAAAAGCCATTCAGAAGTTGTATCTCAATGGTTGGTGGTTATACCTGAGGCCAATAGGTTTGGAGAACTCTGAACTCTCTTCACAGCTGTTAATGTGACAGACATTGCAGCGCGTTTGCGAGCACACCCACCGCTATCTGGAAGCACAAAACAATACAGACAGCAGCCCCAGACAAAGGGAGCAAGCACATGCAACATATCACAGTGTGAGATATGCCAAACATACATGAAAATAATCATGCAGTTAAGGAACTGCTGCAGAAATGTGTGAATTTGCAAGTTTGGCAGATTAGCAGAATACGTAATATTTCACAAGCTTTAAACAACAATAAATCCCACAGAGAATAAGAAAAGAAAGCTGTATTTAATACTTAATCCACTAGGGAAATATATACACTCTGTTACCTGAAAGACTGCTTAATTGCAGCTAATTAGCAGAAGCAAACAAGTAATCAAGATAAAGGATTAAGCATTCCAGAATATTAATCAATAATCTGTACTGTAAAATAATTTTATTGTACGCATTAGAAAGACACCATTCATAAACTAAGCTCATATTTGATCAGCTGACAAAGTACTTTTGTTCAGTCTTTTGGATCCTTTATGCTCAATAAACAAAATTACTAGAGAAGGCATAATTATTTTTTTCATTTTGGTAGAACAACCTGGTTCTCCCTCTTCACCTTTCGTATCTGATGTAGAGTTAAAAATTTGTATGTCTGGAACTGAATAACATTCTTAGGGCATAACCTGAAATCTAAAATAATTTCAAAAAACAAGTTATAAACAAACCCCTTCCTTCTGGATCTTGCCTAACTCCTTTCTTTCTTTATTCTACTCCTCTCTCACTGGAGCTACCATTGCATTTTATAAATACTCTCTTATTATTAGAAGACAGCTTTCCCACAACCTAGCTTTTTAGCAACTCTAGCATAGTTGTAAAAGAAAGTTAAAAAATCTTCCAAGTTATATTTAACTAGAATATTTTTCTGCTCTTCACTATTATAATTAATTTTAATTTTGATACTACTGAAATTTCATTCAGTGCCTCAATGAAGTTAAGAACTACAAGTATGATAATGGCCTTTTTTATTTCTGTGACATATGACAGAGAGTTTTATATAGTTAAGGTCTTAACACATATCTGAAACCTATTTGCAGAAAATATTTCCTATGATAGCAGCAATTTGAGCTACAGAGTCATCTTCAACCTACATCTGCAAGAGAAGTGAGCCCCTGGTATTTCTTTACTCTTTCCAATATTCCCCTGGTATTTCAATATTTCCAACATTCCCCTGGCCACAGATCCTGCAGGATATGTATTAAGTAGTTGTTAACATTGGCAAACATCAGAGCCACTGCCTCTCATCTGAGTGGTACCAAAGACTCATTGCCAATTGCAAGGCTCAAGTAAAAGGCCAAATTATTTCAGCCAGCAGTAGTTGAAAGCAATACATTACCTGCCATTAATTATTGGCTTTGTGCATGTGAAACAAAGGCAATGGCTATCAAACCTGCACATTTATTTTAGATTGCTCACATAAATACAGAATGGCAATGGTAATGAAAATCACATTTTCCATTCTTGGATTCCACTTCCCCACCATTGACATACATCAGAGGTAATTCCAGCAAGATCTGATGATGTATTGATACTGAGGTTCTGTTCTAATCTGAATATTGGCAGACTTTGAAAGCATACTACATTTAATACAGGCAAAAATGTGTTATATTGTTACAGCTTTTACTCAAACAAAGTGATACTTTATTTGTAATATTTCAAGAACTACCTTCTTGAATTTCATGATAGAAAAAGTGAACAAGAAACTGATTACAAATATTTAATTATTTTAACTTCAGGAAATTCAGCTTCAATTTAGTTTTCAATGTAACTGAACTGAGTCGGAGTTTTATACTTAGCAGACCCATTGCCTAGCAAAGTATTTTGGCTTCATACAAGACAAATAAAACATATCTTGTAACCGACTATATACACAATATTTACCACATATATATAATATATGCATTTGCACAAGTCTGTACCAGCATCAATTATCAGCATCAGAACAAAACAATGAGAACCAATTAGCATTCAATTAAGAAATAACCTAACATTTATATGATACTGAGTTGTGCAAGAATTTCTAGTAGAATATGAATGTGTGCAGGCAAGCACATATTTATGCATGATGGATTCTATCTTCCCCTCTAATCCATCCTCAAGATGGATTCCCCTTCCCCTAAAAGCCCAGGCTCCCATTAAGTCAAGGCCATCATGTCTGAGTAAGAACCAGAAGAAYGTGCATGCAGCCTCAAAAGAAGCAGTTTACAAACTGCTGCCGTCATCTGCAGAGCCTTACACAGTTAACTTGGAGAGGCTTATTCCAGCCTGTATTCCCTTTTTCATAGCTACATCGAATTTCCAGCAAATTCTAGCTATAGTCACCCAGATTTGTGAAGCCCAAAAGAAACCATAAAGCTCTAAGTCTGGAGTAAGAAGTATTAAGAAACAATAAGGGAGACTGAATTAATGATCTGCTCATTTCACTTCCAAACTATAAGAAATTAATATTGCACAGCTGTTACTTAAGGAACAAATGAGGATATGTGAAACAAGCCATACAAAATATTAGCATATATAAAAAAATATGTGGCAAATACATATACACACATTCACAATTCCTTTAACCGGAAAAATTCTTCAGGAATGAGTCCTGTCTTGCTGGGTACTTAACACTGAAGTGAGGAGACCGAAATCAGCTAAGGTTTGCAGGCAATGCTAGAATATGAAGTTGGGCACTAACTCACAATCAAAACAGCTGCCTAAAACGCATTTGCAGGTTTTTTTCTCTCCCTCCCTTAATTCTGATTCCATATTTAACCCTTTGCCCTGAATATATAACCCCAACAGCTGCTACCACTAGAGACAGCATCAGCCTAAGTGAGTTCTATCTGTATTTGACTGGTTGGCTCATGCTCTGAAAAGAGATGCAGATGATTCAAAACACCACCATTTCATTTAGGAACATGGGATGGGTTTCTTGCAAAGACTGTTTCAGAGTCACTAAAAGCAGCAGCATAAACAAAGGTGGCAAAGGTGAAAGGATGGTGACCTTGTGTGAAGAGGTGAGAGAGAGCAGCCAAAGGCAAGAAATTAAAGCTCTTACAGCTTATTAAAGAAAAATGGCATCCAAACATAATGTTTGCTGATTATTATTCTATTCACTGTGCTTGTGAATGGTATCATTTTTCCCTTTGCACAGTGAATTCAAGTTTGGAAGTCTTTAGACCAGGGTTTTTCACTCCTTGCTTGCATTCTGACCTTCTGAGCCAAATACACAGTGCTGGATCCAACAGGCCAAGACAGGCAAAGCTGCTGCCTCTCTGTGTCCCCAGGTCCAAGCAGGAGGGAGACTGGAAATGCATTCCATGTATGTATACACCACATATACCCAAGAAATGCTGTTCTTGTCTCCCAGAGAATAGTCCATGTGATTACTTCCATTAATAATTTTAACAAACAGAAAATATTTGCAGACTTCCAGAACTGCATACTTTTCACTCTTGGCTGCTTTTTATGTGCTTCATCTAATGCAAACAGCTAACTTGTTTAATAACTTTAAAATTAGATGCATTTATCAAGCATGATCTGTCTGAAATTCAGACAAAATATTTATAGATGGACACTAAGACTCTGTTTTAACTATTAACTTATATCCATTTATTACCCCTCAGTGCAATCACCTCTCTCCTGACACGAGATATGCATGCACATAAGTATAACGAACAGTAAGCACATTTATCCTGTATTTTAATCTGATACAAGCTCCATGGGCAGCTCATGTGTTCTGTGGATTAGTTAATCCAAGTTAATGATGTAGATCAATCTGTAAAATACCTGAAAACTTGTTGAAGAACCCCCCCCCCAAATAGTTAAAAATATGATTCGGGTGGTGATTGCTTGGTCTGGGTTTTAAAACACACCCATTCTATGAGACTACTATTTAAAAATTATGACAGCATTTGAACTCCAGAAGGAGGCATGAGCCAAAGTACCCCTGATACTTCTGAGAACCTCCTCTCTATCTTACCTCTATTTTCTTTGGTTTTGCAAAAGTGTTTCATTGCCTTATGCTGCTGAATGTTCTTTCCTAACATGCAGTACAGAATTAACATCAAATGCTAAAAAATCCCTCCCATATATGGTAGAGTACTGCAAACCAAAGCTCTTCAAAACATTTTCTCTGCAGACAAAAATATCTTCCGGAGGGTTTGCTGAGACAGACTGCCAAGTCTGCAGCCACAGGGAACACTGGATTACAGGAGCCCACTCTAAGCAGTAGATTTACTTTTTATTTTTAAAATTGCATATACACTAGCTTTGCCATTCCAGTTACTGGCATCAAACTAGAAAGCTCATTTATCTACAAAAGTAATTTTTATGAAATCCACGTTTAAAATAAACTAGTGGCGAATCATTAGTATCTGATAACCTCCAGTTGCACCATGCACAAATTCCTGTTGTAAAACAGTGAAATAAAAAAAAACACCAACCCCAAACCAAACCTGTAGCACTCATGTTCAAAGACTGCATTGTGTAGAAAGAAATAGGAAAAAAAAAAAAAAAAGGAAAAAAGAAACAACTAGACCATAACACCACACAGAACAACTTCCACCTGAGTCACTCTCTTTCTGAATGAAGCAATACTTTAGATTGGTGGAAGGATGGGTGCAATACATTCACTTTTACACCCTGCTCACATGTTGGGTTTCTTTCTTTACAGTCAGAAAACAAACTACATCAATAAAACTGATAAGAAACGCCACATTTTCTGTCAATACTTTCCTTTCGTGCAGCTGATAATGTGCACATTAATATCAAGCATACAGAAGATGAAAAAAATGTTTTTCACTGTTCAAGTGCTGAATAGATTAAAATTCAACCTAAACTCGGGATATCTTTAAGTAATTGGAGAGGATTTCAGGTGTTTTCCGGTTTTTAAAGTTTCTTTTCTATGCTCTTGTGTGATCAAAAGGCTTCCAATCCCCAAGAGAAGTCATTCAGCCACAGAGTATTTAAATCTTATGTCTTTTCCCCTGAGAATTCATAACTTACATGAAAAATTTTAGTACAATATTGAACAAAGTCATACTTCAGAGCTGCAGCAGCACAAACTAGCAATTTACCTCTTTATTCATATTTTCTGAAATAGAAGCTATAAAATTACCTCGATCATATGATTTTAACTCATGTGATGGCAATGCACAGTGTAATTACAGTATGATGATWAGCCAAGTTACTTCTGAAATTACAGATCTATGAAACAAACCATATTTGGGTACTACCTTAATTATACTGACTGACATGTTTAGGAAAGACATTTTCACTAAAAACGCAAGAGGATGGGACAAATTTCAAATAGCGTTTTTATAAATGAAAAATATAACCTTGGTTAACATTTAAAAAACAATTAAGAACAACTAGAAGTTTGGAGAACGAAAGCAAATACTCAAATGAGAAAATTAATTTCTCCTGCTTATTCTACTCACAAATGTAGTGGTTTCAAGTGAGCCAATATATTTTAACTTTGTATTTAAAAATATGTTCAAAAAAATGGTCCTACTGAGTTCCAGATGCCTGAGACAAGAGGAAGCCATGAAGCCTGATTCATACAGTGATCTAGACAATGGCACCTAGACCATGGAAAAGCTAATCCCCTTGATTTAGAGTATGCTGCTGAAATTCAGACTTCAAAGGCAGTTCTGGTCCTCAGGTCCCACATATCATATCAGGTGCTGTGGTGAAGCACTGTGGTCAGTGATAAAGCCAATGGTTTGGAAAGGAAGGAAATATGTCTGTCCTTGTGCCACGGTTAATCTGCAAACCAGACAGCTCACCTACAGCGTCTAAAGAGCCGACTGAAACAGAGAATTCTCCCCTGATATGAGCGAGCCAGGATTTCAGCAGTCTGCTCTCAGGAGGCCCTCTTCAAGCACCAACAGAAGCGCTACATTGGCTTCAGAAAGCTCAGGAGCAAATATGAGTATGCTGTCATAGAACATGAAGAGAACTTTCTATCGAGTATTTAATTTGGTCAACACATCTGTCACAGCAACTTGAGAGAAAAAAGACAGAGCACCGTAAGTACAACGGATCCTCCAGATCATCCTCAGCTGATATGCAAGTGAAGCTAATAACACAGGGCAGTTTTTATATGTTCCTTAATTAAGTGACAGTACAGAATGAAAATAAAGGGTTTTTAAAGCATGTGCATATTGTTAAGAAAATGCGATGCTTTAATAAGATTTTTCCACCGCTTTAATATCTTCATATTATGTACTTTCACATAAAACATACACACACACAAAACTGATACTATTACATAAAGCACAGAAGGCTAAACATGCACTTATTTTGTATATCCATATATATCCATACATAGAAAAAAATGTATGTAAATTTTATATATGAAATACAAATGCACATTGGCAAGCATATTATTAAATATCTTGCTTAATTTGAGTTCAACACCAACTAAAGTACAATTTGTTCACAAAAATTCTAGTAAATTTGGGATCTTCTCTGCTCACAAAATAAGACAAAAAAAAAAATCTCACAGATGCATCATACCTGTGTTCATTTTGACACTGGAGGGTTTGCTATAAAAGTCTTCAGATTTCCTGTGGAAAATAAAACGATGTATTAATTTGCACAGGACAAGAATGTGTGGTACAAAATGGCAGCAGGGCTTTTTGGAGGGGTGGAGAATCACTGTGATACAAATGACAGTCCTATTTTAACAGTGCTTTAATTAAACTGGCACTGCTTGTCTTTCCAAAGTTAAAGATGAGCTGCCACTTCCATTATAAGTCACTCTTTTTTTTCCAGTGTTTAGTATCTCTGTTGTAAATATTTGCTCTGGGATAAAAAAACTAGTGATTAACTTTTGGTCTTGAAACTATAAAGGAAAACTTTTTCCATATAGGAATGTGAAAATATTTTTAAGAGCTGCTTATAAGGTTTATTCACTCCTCTGTGCAAACTAAAATATGCAAAGAGTTGGTCTCTCCAAACATTTTCTAAGAAGCCAGAGTTCTAAGTCTTTTTCAATGATTTATAAGCAGATGTGGTTGTTTTCATCCAATGATTTAATATGTCTCTACAGACAATGCTGACATTCTTAATGTTGCTTCATGTATTTCTATGCCCAGAATTGGGACATGTGTCTTGTTATCCAGAGGAATCCTTACCAAAAGTCCTAATGGAATCATTAGGTCATGAACCAAGTCACTACGCACCAACTATACACTTTTTAAAGGTAATAATTTGCAACGAAACACAAGGGTTGACTCTATTTAGATATCCCAACCCTATGCAGTGCTTACACACAAGTGACACACACTTAGCCAGTCTTAGCTGTATTGTTACATATACACTGTCCACTATCATTTACTTTAGCAAATGGGCAGACACCCTAGAGGCCAAATTATTGAGGGCTAAAAAAAGTCATTCTCCCACTGCACCGTTACCACATCAAGTCTAGGATAAAACAAAAGGAAAAATCAGATATTGTAATGTAATAGAGCTTAAAAAAAAAAAAAAAAAAACCAACTTAAAAATATAAATTGCCTGGCTATGTTGGAGAAAGTTGAAAGGTAAGCATGAGCAACTGGTTTTATGGGAGACTCAAGATGCTAATTAACACAATAAATAAAATATCAAAACAGAATTCGAGTTCCAGTTCAACTCAACAGGAATCCTGAATTAACTGTACCTCCGAGGTAACACATATATTGCTGTATTCTCTTGTATTCATAACAAGGCCAGACATTCCACTGCTTGAAAAAATGACTTTTTCAGAAACTATCTCAACTCTGCTGCTATGATTTAGTCAGTTTTGTGACAAAAAAGATGCACGGTAAACTTCATAAGAACTGTGAAAATAATAGGCAGTGCATGCAAGTTTTATTATATTACTTTTATGCTACAGATATCAGCAACCTACCTCTGAGAATTTCTAAAACTTCTTTAAAATTAAGGCAAATTCTGTCGCGTAAAAGTTTTTTTTTGATATATGGTCTTTGACTGCAATTTTGGATTTCTTTAACTGCTACAGAATACAGCCTCAAATTCCCACTGCATTTTCAGACTGCTAGAGGAGACACCATTTCTAAGCCTTCTTTTAGCTTGGAACTGATTTGCTGACGGTACCACATATAAGGTACAACATGCAACATGATATTTATTTTCAGACCAAACAAGTACAGGACTCTTGGAACACTGCAGAGCCAAAATGATTTCTAGCAGGTGGCTTCGATATATTTACCCAAAGCATGCTTAGCTCTTACTCAAGTTTTAACAGGCAAAACTCAGTTTTAGTACTATAGCTTTGTCCTCCTAAGAATTTCTATCTGGACCAGTCTTGGGCTACACTGCTGACACTGAGGGATCTCATACATCATCATCCCTAACATTTCCACATTAATCTAATTTTGCTGAAAAACTTAGTCTTGAATATCTAAAAGATATGCATGTAAATAAAGCAAATTTACAAATCCAAATCTCATGCATGGAAACAGCAGGTATTGTATTCAATACTAAAATTATTTTTAATTCTCTGCTTTTAAGGAGCTAAAGCACCATTCAAATACTTAATGATACTGCAGTAGGAGCCAAACAAATGTAATGAAAGTAAAAGCGTGGGGGAAGGAACAGGGAGCAAAAGGCTGGTTTTGTTTTATAGTTCGGTTCCTTCTTAATTTCCATCTGAAAACTGTTGTTTGGGAATGGGTTTGCCCCTGAGAGAGGTGAGATGAACGTTCCACTGGAAGCATCAGACACTTCACTGCCAAAATGTATGCCCAATGACAGATAAGGTACTCAGCTCTCATACACCTAATGCTGCGACAGAAGGAGATGATTGTACAACACAAAGCACCACGGCAATCCAAGAGTTGTTAAAATCAGTCACCTGGATCAGGCAAGTCTGCTACTCAGCTCACACCTGAGCTTCAATGCTGAGGTAAAAGAACAGGAAATTTAAGCACAAGAGCATGCCTAACTTTTGCAGAAAGAGTCCAGGATTAATCTTCATGGCCTCCTTCTGTAATCAGCTATGTCTGGAAGAGCTAATGCAGCAGGAAATGAGTGACTGTGCTAAGGCACAAAAATGGGTCTGTTGGGTTGCATACAACTGCAGTTACCATTGCCACATTTAGTTTCACTAAATACATAATTTTGGTAATATTGCAATCATTAACTTAGCACAGAAATTCTTTGCATTGCAAGAGGTTACTGAAAAGACTTGTGGGAATCTCACTGACATCTGCTCTATTTTCTCCAAGAGACCCTGATATCTACTTGTGATTACTTCTGTTCCCGGTAAGTTCTGAAGTGTGGGGTGCTGAAGGAAAACATTCTGTCACCCCTTCTGTTCCACATTCTTATGGAGCTATAAAAAGGGTTAGTGAGAAGTCAAGGAAGGTTTCCCCACCCTCAGTTTATTCATAAATCAAGATGCATGACTTTCCTGTTAGAGGTTTAATTCCATTCTTGATCAGATCTTCAAGCACCTACATCCATTAAGGTAGGACAACCATCCAGACAATTCTGTGTGCTCTCAGAAGACCCTGCTTGAGCAGGGAGATTGGACCAGGTGACCCACTGTGGTCCCTTTCAACCTTATTCTGTGATTCTAAGTTACCTGTTATTTATTTCTTGCCATTTCACAAAAGATATTGCAAAAAGTGAGTTTAAAATGTAATTTTCAGATAGAGTATTTGTATAAATTCTAAATCAAATTCTAGTATACATTTTCTATAGTTACCATCCTTGGTAATGAATTCTACTCCAAGGATCTTTGGTGAGAGGAGCAATTGATTCACAACACAGAGTCCAGATGGATCAACAGCAGGATAGATATGTGTGTCTGACTGGAAAATTACAGATTTTCATTTTCTTAGGTAGAGAGCAGTGCCCAGATATTTGGAGAGGACAGGAGCTTTCCTGATTTGCATGAGAAGGAGTGTCAGACTTCCATAAATGTTGTTTTCCAGTTTCACAGCTTGAGCTAGAGAGAGTAATCTACTTGAGAAAATATCTGCAAAATTAAGAAACCAAATCAGTGGGTGAGTTTACTATAAGGATTGCTCAATCAGTCAGTTTAAACACTGCAGGTGATCTGCAAACATGTATTTATTACCAGGCAGGATTCTATTTTTGCATGTGGCAGTATATTCTTTTAATGCACATCATTAAGACTCTGCAGAGAATTCCTACTCTGCAACAGGTCAATATACTTTATAGGCCAACTCACACATTCAGTGAAGGAGGACAAAAAAAAAAAGTTCTAAATGCACAGTGAAGCTGACTATTTAATTTCTCTCACTATTTAAAAGAAATTCAGTTGTTTACTGTTCGCAGGACAACTACAGCAATGAGCAAACAATGAAAACTTCATAAACCCCAAAATGTTCAATTGTGACAGCAACACTGGCACAAAAAACCAACTGCCCTGAAGCTGCCTTGGTAGAAGAAGTCTCTTCTGCTGAGCCTTTAAGTAGGTTGAAAGTTTATATGAAAATATATTGTTTGTATGAAGAAAAAGTTTGATGCAGCATAGGAAGATGATGCTTATAATGAAAATAGTTACACAATATTTCTATTTTATTAACATGCAACAAGAAGTTAACAAAATGGTAGGGTATCTTTACTGAGATCCAACACAGCAAGGCACATGCTGAGCATATGCTTAAGCATATGCTTTATGAAGGCCCCACAGAACCATTCCTATGCTTTATGGTAAACATCAGCATAAATTCTGTTTGCTCCAGACCATACTGCCTCGCCCTAGAAGGATCTGAATATTCAGGTGCTAGAACTCCAGTTCTAATTAAAGTGTTTTCAGATAGATAATCAAGGAGAAAAATATAGGCAGACAATTGATATCCTAGTTTCTGTAACTTTAAGGTTTTCTTACAGGATTGTGCAGACATCCTTGCTCTAAGTGCAGTGTCATTGTACGTGTTACTCATGCACATTATCTGCAAATGAACTGATCAGGTCATTAAACAATTTGGATGGCTGAATAATTTGTACATGGCCATAAACTTCTACTTGAACACATTAGACAACTCAAACTGAACTCAACAGCAGGAAATGCGCGACCAGGGAAATCTCTTCATACAAAAGCTGTTTCCTGGATCATCTTCAGTATTACAAACTATCTTAGGCTGATATCTAACTTAGAGCATATCACATATTTGAGCCTATTTCCTCAGCAAATACAATAGTAATGTTGTTATTCAATGTACTGCTAAGATTTTGTGCTGGAAAATCACAAGTGGTTCTAGCTCCCACATATACAAATATTCAAAGAGTTTCAGATACAGGAGAACCCATCACAGGAGTCTGTGACTGATCATTCTCTACAAGCACATCATGGGATTGGACGTAAGTGGAGGAAATAAAGGCACTATTAACCATTTCATCTACCTTAAATATAAGTTCACAATTGTAAGTTAATTTCTATTCATGACAATCATTAAGGTCTGAAGCACTTGTCAGGAGTGTTGTGGTGAGACTTAAGATTCTGAATTTGACAAGTGTATGTGAAAAATGTTACTGTCTGAAGGCAGGGGAATAAATTTGATGACATAGGAACTTATTTCCAGACACTTTT